GGCTAGCTCCCAACAGATTTCCACCAAGTCCCAGTGTGTATCACTCCCAACCGTTATCCAGTTTGCGGACGACTTGGCAATTCTTTCTTTTTTTTATTTTGCTGAAGAATTTCGATGTGACCCTGAGGCAAAAGTTGTTCAGTTTATTTTTCTGCATAACATAGTTTTCTTTCGGAATTTTTGTTTTTTTTTTTTTTTTTTTTTTTTTTTGCTCGGACCTTTCCTCGTCGTTGCACGGCCGGACCGCCCGGGTGATACAGGGTGACCCGGGCGGCCCGGCTGGTAGCCTACCGTCTTCACCCGAATAGAACACCCTGTCATCATAGCCATATCTGGTACAACTCTCAGTCTAGGAACAGCGATAATGACCGGGCGTTGTATTCGGGTGAAGACGGTAGTGCCGAAGTAATTAAACCACCAGCACCTTTCCCTGCTTGAAAAACAAATGACATGTGGCCCAGTGGTTAGGGCACCGGTTGGAAATGCGCATTGTGGCTTAAGGTTGCGGATTCAAAACCCCGCATCCATGCGCATGGACACCAGCGGACGTTTACATAACGTATACCCATCTGCAAACCCCCCTGGGCTGATGCAGGTAAGCTATTACAGACACTGCTTGCGCACCACCCAGGGGTCTTAGTCCATGGTTGTTGTATGTTGGGTTTGGACTGTGGGATGTTTGCCTGATGCTCTTGGTTCTAGTGGTTCTTTGCACGCTTGCATACTTGGGGATGATTGTTCATTTCCCTTCCAGTCCGATATTGCGCACAAATCGTTCAGTTTCCACAGTAGCTCAGTAGGTTTGAGGGTAGATTGAGTGGTAGACACTGAGGTAGGATAGTGGGACTAGGAGCGCGCTGGGAGAAATTACGAAAAAGGTAGGTTGGGAGGGGGTCCCATAGGATTAGGGGGCCTCTACCACATGGCCGAGTGCCGAAGGTGACTCTCATATGTCTATAATCCAGCCTCTACAACAACCTGGGCTTTTTCCAAAAATAAAAAATAAATAATAAAATATAAAATAAAAAAATACATGGCTCATATACAGCCGCAACTTTTGGGGATCGATGTACCAGACCAAAATGGCTGGTGGCGCCAGCCAAATGAGGCCAGCACCTAGCTTTCCCGGGGCACACGGCCGGGTAGGGACCACGCCCAGTGTTGCATACCGTATAGGTGCAGACCAGAACAAGAACCGATCTTTCAATACCAGGTATAAGATAGCACAGCGGAAGACTTAGATACTAGTGATCCGAACAATCAATGTTGTAATGCAGCCCTGAACATACATCATCATCATCGTTTCATAGTGTGAATGGGTCTGGCGCTTCACACAGGAAGACAGCGCCAGCCCAGAACATGCACAGACGAGGAGGAAGGGGATAGACGAAGAGGAGGGGGAAGATGGGAATGTCGTCAACACCAAGTCTTCGGCAC